TTTGCTGGTTTATGTCGTAAGAAAGTTAATCCCCAAAAGATTTTGATTGTTATCTAATTTCATCCCAATGTTTATGTAGAACAGGAAAACAGAATTTTAGGTTTCCAAAATAGTTTATGTGCGCTCATTGATCTTTTACAGATAAAGGAAAGTTGTGTTTGAACAGAAAAGGAAACTTTTAACCGTTATTCATTAAGTTTCCGAAATTGAAAAAAGCTTATCAATATAGGTCGGCGCCTGCTGGTGTCTGGTGTGCTCTATAAATACTTCACTGCTTCTCTTCTCCTTTCGACCATCACAGATACGAACAACTACTCAAGCTTTCAACTTAATTAATTAATCCGAAGAGAGTGATATTCATTCAGAGCTATGTCGACGCAAACAACAGAGGCGATCGTGGGGAAGAAGATCCAGGGCACCGTCGTTTTGATGAAGAAGAATGTAGCTGAGGTCGCCGACTTGGGTGCATTGGTGAGTGACGATATTCACGAGCTGTTTCGCAACCGAGTCTCTCTTCAACTCGTCAGTGCCCAAAACAGTGACTCAGCAGCTGGTGAGTGGCTTTCGCCTTTTAAATTTCTCTTTGCTCCATGTGGAGTTTTGATTTTTCTCTGTGATTTGTTTAATTTGGTTGTCTATGGTCTCGCTAAAAGGCAACACATGAGCTTAATGGTTCCTGATTTTATGTGCTAATGCAGCAAATGAGTTGAAAGGAAAATTAGGAAAGAAAGCATTTCTGGAAAACTGGATTGGTACGACAACTCTTCTAGTCGCAAATGAATCTGCATATAAGGTCACCTTTGATTGGGATGAAGATATCGGAATTCCTGGAGCATTCTTAATATGCAATGCCCATAACAATGAGTTCTATCTCAAGAGTCTTACACTTGAAGATGTTCCTGGTGAAGGACGGATGCATTTTGTTTGCAATTCGTGGATTTATCCTACTACTGATAATGAGAAATATCGCATTTTCTTCATTAATAAGGTAACTTGTTTGACATTAGTTCTACACAAGTTTCAATGTTGCTTCCAACAGACATCTACTGAAGTTTCAATTCTACTTTTCCTCTTTTTCTTAGTCAATAGGTCTATTAGGATTATTTGATTAGTAAACATGCTTGATTAATTATTCAACTAAAACTAATATGTTTTCTCTTAAAAAAGAACTAAAATCTTGAGTGTCAGTTTTTAAGTAAAATTTCCTATTAGATCTGGCGTAAAATAAATCATTTGATTGCAATAGTTTTATGAAATCAAACTATCTACTCTTTAATGTTTGTTAAAGCAAAATAACGTCTTATGCTTTTGTTTTTGCACAGACATACCTCCCAAACCGGACCCCATTGCCATTGCGCAAGTATAGAGAAGAAGAATTGACGAATTTGAGAGGAGATGGGAAAAAGGAACTAAAGGAAAGAGATAGAGTGTATGATTATGACTACTATAATGATTTGGGAGAACCTGCAAAAAGTCCTCGACCAATTCTTGGAGGATCGACTAAGTATCCTTATCCTCGAAGAGGAAGGACAGGTCGACCACGATCAGAAATAGGTTAGATACTCAAATTATATACTTTTTATTCGCTTGGTTTACATGATAAATTTGTCTTTTACCGATAAGACAAAACAAATATATGTATAAAATATTTTCGTAAGTGTTAATATTATTTTCTCACTGTAACAGATCCTAAGAGCGAAAGCAGAATACCACTTATAAAGAGTTTAGACATCTATGTTCCAAGAGATGAGAAATTTAATCATTTGAAGATGTCTGATTTCTTTGCCTATGCATTTAAATCTATAGTTCACTTTATCAAACCAGAGATCAAAGCTTTATTCAAGAAGAACATTAATGAGTTCAACTCTTTGGAAGATATCATGAAACTTTACGGAGAAGGAAGCAGTTTGTCCCACAGTTCTCTTCTTGATCATATAAGGGAAAACATCCCGCTTGAGACGTTAAAAGAAATCTTGCGAACAGATGGTGAAAGCCACTTCAATTTTCCACTGCCTCAAGTCATTAAAGGTAGGAAGATGTTTGACCTCCTTCAACTAGTACAAAATGCAAAATATCAATTCAATATTCTATTCTTTTCGTGGTTTGTAAACTTGATTGATCTTAATTTGAAAATAAACAGAGGATAAGTCGGCATGGAGAACAGATGAAGAATTTGCAAGGGAAATGTTAGCTGGAGTAAATCCTGTAGTTATTTGCCTGCTTCAGGTAAATTTAAAGTATTTCTAGTGGTTTAATGTTTTTATAATTTTTTTTTTTTGGAAAGTTTAATTTGGTGGAAATTGATTGTAGGAATTTCCTCCCACGAGCAAGCTAGACCCTAAGCTATATGGTGATCAAAGTAGCTCAATTGACAAAAGCCACATTGAGAAGAACTTAGATGGACTCAGTACAGAAGAGGTGATAACTTTAAAATTTATGATGAACTTATATCTTATAATGCAAATCATTCTACGGGTGAATTATTATTAGTTTTTCCTGTTAAACAGGCATTGGAGCAGAAGAGGCTATTCATTTTAGATCACCACGATCATTTGATGCCATGTTTGAGGAAAATAAATACCACTTCCACGAAGACATATGCATCTAGGACACTCCTCTTCTTGAAGGATGACGAGACCTTAAAGCCACTAGCTATTGAGTTAAGCTTGCCTCATCCCGAGGAAGATCAACTTGGTGCTATTAGTAAAGTACTCACACCAGCTGAAAATGATGTTGAAGGCTCAATGTGGCAGTTGGCAAAAGCCTATGTTTCTGTTAATGACGCTGGCTATCATCAACTCATCAGTCACTGGTATGTTCTACAACCGGCAAAAATAAATTCAAATTTATGATTTCATTTTTATTGATAAACATCCCACTTGTCGTCCCAGGTTGCACACTCATGCGGTGATTGAGCCATTTATTATTGCAACAAATAGACAGTTGAGCGTGCTTCACCCTATCCACAAACTTCTTTATCCTCACTTTCGCGACACAATGACTATCAATGCACTTTCTAGGCAAGCCCTCCTTAATGCTGACGGACTCTTTGAGGCTACAGTTTTTCCCGCCAAATATTCCATGGAAATGTCATCTTTTCTTTATAAGAAATGGGTTTTTACTGATCAAGCACTCCCTGAAGATCTCAAGAAGAGGTAACTATCATATTTAATCATGCATCTAAACTTAATTACTCACTCATCCAATCGTTAAATCTTATTGTTATTAAAGCTTATGGGTCTTAGAATATGTAACTATAACTGTAGACAACCCTTCCCTTCATTAGAAAACTATCTTAACATGATAAATAACTTAGAATTGTTTGAAGACATGTTTGACTTAAGGAGAAACCTTGCTTAAACATGCTATTTACATTATATTATTAGTTCCCTCAAGAGATAAATTAAAACTCATAACTGTGATGTTGATCTTATGATAATGTAATTAACATAGTTTGTGCTTTATACAGAGGAATGGCTATTGATGATCTAAACTCACCACATGGTGTAAGTTTATTGATAAAAGATTATCCATATGCTGTTGACGGGCTTGAGATATGGTCAGCTATCAAAATGTGGGTAAAAGATTACTGTAACTTCTATTACAAAAGTAATGAAATAATTCAAGAGGATGTGGAACTCCAAACATGGTGGAAGGAGGTTCGAGAGGAAGGTCATGGTGATAAGAAAGATGAGTCATGGTGGCCTAAATTGCATACTTGTGACGAGTTGGTGAATATTTGCACCATTATTATATGGGTGGCATCTGCACTTCATGCAGCTATAAACTTTGGACAATACCCGTATGCAGCATACCTCCCTAACCGCCCTACCATAAGCCGTAGATTCATGCCAGAGAAAGGGACTCCTGAATATGATGAACTCCTGTCTAACCCAGAAAAAGTTTTCTTGAGAACCATCACTTCCCACTTGCAAACAGTTATTGGCATGTCACTTCTCGAAATTTTGTCAAGACATTCCTCGGATGAGATTTATTTGGGACAAAGAGACACACCAGAATGGACATCAGATGTAGAAACCTTGGAGGCATTTAAGAAGTTTGGAAATAAGTTAGCGGAGATTGAAGAAAAAATAGTAGAGAGAAACAATGACAAGGAGTCGAAGAATCGTATTGGTCCAGTGAATATGCCATATACTTTGCTCTATCCTACCGGTGAAATCGGGCTTATTGGCAAGGGAATTCCAAATAGTATCTCAATTTAAACATTCTTTAAATTTGTGATGTACATTTTCTTCTTTTTTTTTCAGTTTTTTTTTTTACCACTTTAAGCTTAGTGCTTGCAACATTACATGTTTATATTTGACAAATACTAATAACAATTTTAGTTAATATCTACTACAAGCAAGTCATGTGCAATTACAATCTTAAAACTAACAAAACTATGCAAGTCTACTCTTTAATACACTCATTCAAGTTCCCATTTAATTGCATAAAATTTACGAGCATACTATTCTCAACATAAAGGTACAACATTCTCATATATATATATATATGTATAATTATAAAACCAAACAACTTAATATTAAAAAATATAAGCGTAAATCATATTAGAAAAATTTAGTATAAACATATATATAGTAATAATTCATAACTAAAATAATATAATTCATACATATTCACATCAAAACAATCTATTTTAAGTTAATAGTTACAGTTTTTACATATTATATATTTATATAGATTCATATTTATCTAGTTCTGATACTAAATACATATAATTTTATTTTTGAATAAAATCTAAGATTTGAGATAATTAGAATGATATTTATACTTGAAAACTGATTTTATTCGTATTAATTTATTAAAAAATTAAAATATGTAATTACGTAAAGATGAATATTTTTATAGTAATATTTTTAACTATGTTAAGTTAGTTTTCGTCTCTTAATCGATATATTTGATTGATGTAAAAATTAAAAAAAAATTTATTTACAAGTACTATTTATTTTCTAATTAAATTACAAAGTGTGACATTGACATTCATTCATAAAAAAATTTATAAAATTATTGAATTAGAATTTTTACAAACCATAATAAGAATGGATTAAATACATTGAAAGGAAAATGATAGGGGTTCAAATTTTGTATTGGAAGTCCTGCATTTGATCCTCTAATTAAAATCAACTTGGATATTCTCTCAAATACTTGCTCATATTACATCATGCTAAAAGACCATTTAGTCTCTCTAATCATTCAGGCTCATCAGGGTTTACATGTCTTATGGGAAATAGTGAAATCATATGCTAAAAATATAGGTGCATGAATATCACTTCCCTTGATAGAAAACCCCTTTGGTAAATGAGGAAAACCATGTATTCAATATCACATTTTCTAGCCAACATATTGTGCAACTTATAAACCAACACCTTATTTTATCACTTCCAATAAAATGGTAAGAAACAAGAACTTAGCAAAATAAATAATTTCTTCAGTTGCAAAATGTTTAGAAAATACATGATATTGTCATACTCTAATTTTATCCCATCTAAATAAAAATCTATTGTGAAGAAATAAATTTATAGTTATTGTGATTATTATTATTATTATAAAAGAAGAAACAAGAAATAGGAAAAATAGAAAATGAAAAGGAAAGAAGGAAAATGAAAAGGGTGATAGCTCAAAAAGGAAAAAAAAAAAAATTAACCAGCATTTTAATAGGTCAATTCCATTCAAAAAGAAGCCGAGAACGTGAAACCCTTAAAAAAAAGAACAATGCCACTACCAACGAATCAGCAGCCCTAACATTAAGATTTTTAAGGTCAAGCTCTATCCTTCACATTTAGCATTTTAACAATGCATTGACATAACCATATTACGGCCCACCTCGAAATGCAAGAGCCTCATGTTGACATCGACAATCCCATCTTTTAAAACTCAAAAGTATTAAGTCACATAAACATAACTGAATTTTTTATTAAAAGAGCCTCAGAGTAGTCTGAAAATCACTTCAAAACTTAAATCTTGTATCTAACAAGGATATATATATCTGAAGAAAGGAAACCAGCAGTGCTCAATGTAGAAGTTCTCATTATTCCTAGCTAACCAGGAGAGCAAATTGTGTAATAACTAGTGACCATTCAGGCATTTTCCTTTGCCTATATCCAAGTAAATTAACTTTCAGTCATGGACTTCTTCTGGTTTTTTCTTTCCACTAGATTTGAGATACCATCCCAGAGCACCAAGGACAGTAACAGCACCAGCTACAACTGCATAGTTACGGCTCTTATCGGTTGACATTCTTGATGATGACGATGAGGAGCTACCCGGCTTGGCATCATTTAAGGACCCACCTGTAACTTCAGCTGCTTTTTCTTCCGGTTTAGGACCCTGTAGACAATAAAACAATTCAGCAAAATTTCAGGGATAAGCACAGAAAGTAATAACCAATGATGTTAGTCACAAAGAAACTAAAACACAAATTTCATGTCAATTTGTTGAATAGATAAGTGTCACATGATATCGCATTTTTAACTAGCAAATGGTGGCTGACAACTGAATCAGTTCACTAGTCACATATTTTGAAACACAGCATCATGCATTACCCCAATCTCTGCTCAAAGTCAAAATCAACTTACTTGGGGCCTCCTCTTCCGTCATTCAAAATTTGGCCAGTTAAAAAGTGTCGTAACACATGAGCCACACAATTCCAGACAAAATGTGAAGTGGGACCATATAGCTTACTTTTCAATCAAATTACTATAGGATTATTATACTTTTCGTAGGTTCACTAATTTAATTGAGGTTCTTACTTAGTTATTTTTTTCACATATCAAAAGAAGTACTATTAATAGAAGGAAAACATTACAAGATTAGATGATAAGACATCCCCTAAAGGTCTTCTTTGTAAAGAGGAGCCAAACCTAATCAAGAGAAGAAAAAAACAATACAAATTGGCACCCCAATTCCTTTATAACAAAGATAAAAGAAATGTCTCCAAAACACAATTCATCTTAGCTCCTAAGGAAGGCAAGAATGTCACTCTATCCGAAAGTAATTGAAGTGCAAAGTAATGATCCATGAAGATCCCGTCATTTCACTCCAGCCATAGAACCCAAAGCCCAGCAAAAAATGGCACCTCTCTAGAGATTCCTTCCTTCGTTTTTCACCTCACCCTGTTATAAAGGAACATAAAAGCTTTCTAGAGAGGGAGGGGAACCCACACGAAGGCAAATGTATCAAAAAGTTTTGTCCAATGCTTCCAAGCTATATGGGACTCACTCCTTCTAAAGTACATGAGGCATAGATTAAGTGAAAGAGTACAGTTGAGTCAGCAAACTTGCAACATATTGCTAGTGGTAAATTTGCTGAGCAGCAGTGTTAGGCAAAAAGCCTTTACCTTTGAAGAAACTTTCACCTTCCACAGATTACCGGAGAGAATGTTCATTTTGACTACTAGGTTACAAGTAGGATGGCTAAAAAGGATTTACAGGTATAAATACCCGATGAGTCCAGGGGCCAAATTCTGTTGTCCACCTTGGGAGAAATGTTGTGGGACTCAAGTATGGTAAACAAGGGAAAACATGAACGGATCACAATAATTTAGATTTGTAAAGAAATGTATATTACATGAGCTATGTCCATCCAAATGATTAAGTATGAAAAAAAAATGAATAGGGGCATTGTGGCTAATGAAAATTAATAAATGTCAAGGAAAATAAGTGGTCAATGGGCAACTATTCATCTATCCTCCCAAAACAAGATTCATGAGTCATCCCCCACCTTAAAAAAAAAAAGGAAAGAATCATCCCCCACCTAAAACAGTTAGAAAGAATTAAAAAAAGACCATAGAGCTGAGATATCTAACTTTCCAGGGGCTCTTGTACATAACCGAATTCCTAGCAATAGATCCACTTTTATGCATACCATAAATATTCTTGATCACTCTACGCTAAAGAGATTGAGATTCCTGCAGAAATATGCCAAAATCATTTAGTCAATACTGACAAATTTATAGAGCCAAATTCCCAACTACCATCCTGCTTAGCAAGACAATGCACATCCATCTCACTAAGTGATCACTCGAGGCTTCACCCCTCCCAAACCACAAAAATCTCCTCCTAATTACCTTAAAGTTCTCTACCACACCATTAGGCATTGTAAACGAGGACAGATGGTAAAAAGGAATACTAGATAAGCAAGCCTGAATCAGATTGACTCTACCACCTAAAGAAAACAACCCACTTTTCCTATAGTCAAGCCGCCTAAAAACAAAGGAACTCCTAAATAAGTAGCAGGGCAAAGACAACCTATTGCACCCAATAGCCTCAGCCATATCACCAACTTCTGGGTCACTCACATTAATCCTTCTTAAGGTTAACAAAAAGATCACAAATATACTAGAAGTATTAATAGGATTAAGAAAGAGAAATTACAATGGCAAAGGATAAGATATCCTCCTAGAACCTTTCATAGAAATGCTCTGATACAAAGATTAATTACAAAATAAAGAGACATTCTGCACCCAAAGGACCATGAAATTCTTCACCCTCAATTTTGTTACGGACAGTGATGGAAGTATCTGAAACTTTCCATTAGCCGTTTCCCATAGGAGGCAAGAAACATCAATTTTTCCCATAAAGTTTCAATTGGATAAAGATCAATCTTAAAAAATCCGATGATTTCTCTTCAACCTAAACCTGCAAACAGAGCACCTTGACACAAAGAGTTAGCTTTTGTCCTCACCAATACACCACCAATATTCGAGTTTGTGAAACACTCCAGAGAGGAAGGTGTTATCCAATTTAAGCTAAATATATCGAGTAACCTTATCCACAATTTCCAAGCCATATTAAAGAGTAAGTTATTATGTATTTCCCCTCTCGCAAATATTTGGAGAAAGAGCTCGATCAGGCTTACAAATCTGCAACACCTTAATGTTTAATTGATTTAGAATAACGGTCCATGCAAACACCTTTTTCAGAGGAAACCGTAACCTACCAGAATGGCTTGGTGAAAGGGCTGGGATAACAGCAAGTTATTGTTATTTGCAAGTGTATGTGTCTGAGGATTCTAATGTTCATAACCTGCTATCCCATTGTTGGGATGTTTGGAAAGGTTCCAATAGTCTCGATAGCATAAGGAGATATGCTCAAAATCTGCACAATAGTGAGAATATTATTGAAGGTGGGAACAGTGTCACCCCCATTAATCCCCAAAAGAAAGATAACAGGGTTATCAACGAAAGAAGATGGCAAACCTCCACTTTATCCTCCTCAATACAAAGACCTTTGACCAAACCTCTCCTTAGAACCCATTCTATCCTCCTCAACCACCATCATCAAAAGGAATGCAAAGAGAGGACCAACCCTAAAAAATTGAAACCAGGTTGGAGGTTTACCATTAACAGTAATTGCAAAAGACATGATGGATAAGCACCGCCCATATACCTCCTCCAACTTGTTCAAAACCATTTCTAGCCATATCTTGTATTAGAAAAAAAAAAGAAAAAAACAAAACTAATTGACTCTAACATAGGCCTTCTTGACATCCAACTTAAAACCAGCCCAATATATTTAGACCTATTAATAGCCCCCACTACTTCATTCACAATAAGAGAAGCATCAAGAATCTACCATCCTCCAAACCCCCTCCCCAGGCCCCCTCAATAGAGACACTCTAATTGATAGATATAGCCCTTCGAAAGCCTAACTCAATCTTAAAAGAGAGCACCTTTATAATGATCTTATATACACTAGTCACGAAGGTCTAGGACGAAGATCAATATTTTTTAGACCAGTCCTTTTTGGGCACCAAGTTAATGAAGGTGGAGTTCGTACATCTTCCCACAATCCCATTAAGATAGAATTCCTCACACCCTCATCAAATCAATTGTCACCCAATCCCAAGTACACCTAGAAGAAGGAAATATAGAAACCATTTGGCCGAAGAGCCTTGTCAATACAGACGTCCCACCCGCCTTTCTTCACCTCTTCCTTAAGGAAACGATTCTCCAACCAATTAGCACTATCCTCCCTAATAGGACTCCAATTAATACCCAAATAAAAGGTCAATCACTATTCTCCTCATTATTCAATGTTCTATAAAAGTCTGCAATCCCGTGCCCATGTCACTGAGATCATGCATAAAAACACCATTTCCAGTTCCTTCATAAAACTCTTCCATCTTCTCCCATTATAAACCCTCTAAAAGAGGCCCAAGTTAGCACATCTTCATCCTTAATCCATTTAATTCTAGGAA